AGGGGACAGTTGGATTCAGATAAATAAACGGCGAGTGCTAACCATCGTCTGCTTCAGAAGAGAAGGCTTCTTTTCTGCTGGCCCTGGCGCCAACTTGTACCAAATCGAGCTCGCTTGAGGCCGAATAGTGTCTGTTATCACCAGCATGAAAGATGTCCTTCTTCGGTACATTTGGTGTTCTTATGAAGTGGGTGGCCGGATTCGAAACGAGACTTTCCGGTCCCCATGCACACACCGCCCACATCTGAAATGGGTACATGTTGTAAAAGACGATGAAAGCAGGGAAGAAAATAACTTACATTTTGCGTTGCATTTTAATTCAAACATTTACATTCTTTGAATCCGCTATGTCGGATAAATTAACGCATGCTTTATGGATAAACACGTGTTTCACATCACTGACAACTTTTCTTTGTCCATTTTTTATCAATTCATCCAAAAACAGTTAACGTCATCTTTTTCGGTACTGTGATAAGTAAGCACCAATAGGCTTTTTCAAAAGCCACCAGGGACAGCTTCGTCAAAAAAACTTACGACGATTGCTTCACTAGTGCTCTGGAAACTGGATTCCAGTGGGGCTCGTTTATGTGGCAGGATACTGGAATAGAAACGACTTGTAATACAGGTGGCTTCGCACTAAATTACAGTTGGGGTTAAGGTTAGCTTTAGAGGTAAAGTGGGGATTAGGGGGAAGATTTGGATTAGAGTTGCGGACAGAGTTAGGGTTCACGTTATGGTTATGTTTTGGTTCAGTGTTGGAATTAAGACACAGGTATAGGTACCCCTACATTTAGCAGGAAGAGGTTTATATTCCCGTTTGCTACGGCAAAGGACCTCGGAATATATATTTACCTGCATTCTTTATATCCGTCTATGCCAGCAAATAAAACTTATTAAGGAAGAGTTGGTAGAAATCGACAACATCCGATGACGATTTATGCGCATGACTCATTAAATATTCACCACAATAGCAACGCATGTGCTAATTAAAAGCACAGACATGCGTTTTGTTGGTACTGTATCGCTGCTTGACACAGTTCCGAGGGGTCCGGCCCACCACTGGGTCTCCAAATTTTCTCTGTGTGTTCTCTGGTAGATGCACCAGTTTTGAAATTGTAAATTTTTTAATTTACTCAGAAGTTAATCTTTGAAACTGGAGTAGGCTAGTACATTGATCACAGTCACATCATAACAAGCCTCTCAATCACATAGGTAAAGGTTTAGAATAACAGACAGTGGAGAGAAGTAAAATATTAACACTTTTTATCATCTGAACTTAGTACTTGT